TATATATATATATATATATATATATATATATATATATATATATATTATTTTGTTTAGTTTCTTTTATAATATTTTATTATTTTTAGTTTTTTTTATATTATTTAATATAGCTAATATTGTAATACATTTTTTCTTTTTATATATATAATAGGTAGGTGAAGCTAATTTAATACTGCTATTTGTTAAAATTGTTAAAGGGAAGGGTGGTAATTTAATGTACTTTACATATAAACTTGAAGTAGGATGATTTAATAATTAAAAGAGAATGGGGAGTGGAATTTAATAAATAACAGAGAAATGGGGGAAATAAATCAAAATTTAATTGGAATTATTCTAAGTAATAAATATTATAAAATAAACTAAACAAAATAATAAAAACGTACTATGATATTAACTATAAAATAATATAAAAAAATTTAAAAAAATAAAATATATTAAAAGAAATTATTGGAAGGATATTAAATTAACTTTAACTACGACATAAATTAACTTCCCTTACACATTAATTTTTTTTAAATATACTTAAAAAAAATTAAAATATATTAATAAAATTGAAGAGTATTAAATTAACTAACTATTAAATTAACTCTTCACCAATATTTTTTATGTACTCAAAAAAGAAATTTAATAAAATATTATTAAAAAAAACTAAAGAAAATGATGTATTACGATATTAACTTCTCTTTTTAATATACTCAAAAAGAAATTTAAAATTTATTAAAAAATATAATAAAAAAGAAACTAAAAATAATAAAATATTATAAAAAAAAAACTAATAATAATAAAAAAAAAAGTATATTAAATTTAAACGTGAATGATTGAAATAGAAAATTTAAATTAAAAGTTATAAATAAATTTAATCTATCCATATTAATTATTATAATTATAACACGCAAAAAAAATTATTTTAAATTTTATTTAAAATCTTTTATTATAAATATTAAAACTAATTCATCGTAAATTTATATCAATTTATATTAATTCATCAAAATTCATAAAAAAAAAATTAAAAATAAAAGAACTAAACCTCGAGAATTAGAAACTTTCTTTTATATAATTTATTTTTTTAAAATTTGTCAACTTACAAACTATTATATCATATAAATTTATCGGACAACATTGTTATGAGTAATTAACTAAATTTAAAAAAAAAAACTCATTTTAGTCTTTTACAAAAACACACTCCTATATAAATTTTATATTTTATAAAAAAAAATATTGTCTAACTCATTTATATAGATGACTATTTGTAAATAAATTGTTAAGATTGTGATTTTTTTTATATCAATACTTAATTGAACTGTACCATTTTTTGAATGGAAGTATAATTAGAGTCATTTATTGGTCTAAAAAATTTGAAGGACAAGATAATTAAATATTAAAAATTCAGCAATAGTATTTTATTTAATATTTCCCATTTAATATTTCAATATTTCAAAATTTCAAAATTTTTGTACAAATACTTTAAATCTCATATTTAATAATCTAATAATTAAAAAGAGAACAAAGACTTACAATAGGCATGTTAAACCATAAATCTAAATAATATTTTGTTTAGAATGATAAAAATTATTTTAAAAAAACATAAAATTAGTATATTTCCCATTTTATTTATGGTTACCCGTAAATTAACACTTATGTTGCATATATTTTATCGGAGTTCGTTATTATTATTATTCTCTTCTTTTTAAAATTATTTTATGCATTTATTTTGAAATCAAGAATAAAATCTATAATTTTTTTTATAATTTAGGGTATTGATTAGAGGAATTTTAACACAAAATAAAATCATTTATTAACCATATACAAAATGCAATTTAGTGTTGTTTTTAAAATGCAATTTTTCACATCATAGGTTGTTTGGATTCTCAAACGTTTCTGAAAATATTGAAATACGTCAAAAGATGGATTTGAGATCCCTCCGTTCATGATTTTAAATTTTCTCCATTCGTACTAGTACAGATTTACTCGTTATTCTATTCATTTAATTCGTAAATACATATATAAGCAATTTTTTGATTGAAAATATTGAAATAGATTTACTCATTGTCCTATTCATTTAATTCGTAAATACATATAAGCAATTTTTTGACTGAAAATATTAAAATTCGTCAAAAGATGGATTTGAGATCCCGTGAAATTAAATTTTCTCCTTGCGTACCAGTCCAGTATACTTTACTCGTTGTTCTATTGATTTAATTCATAAATACATATATAAGCAATTTATACCTATAATAGTGATAGGTATTCGAGGCAATTGTAAAATTTCAAAAATGGGGTCGCCCAGACTTAAACTAGAGAACTTCAGTGTGTTAAACTAACTTGATAACCAACTGCACATCACCATCACCATTGGAAGCATCCCAAAAGGTCACTCAAACTATAAAATGAAGCCTAAACTTCCTAGAGCCTAGAAAAAAGTCCTTGGAAACCTATTCTATGACTCTACGTCTAGCAAAAATAGTCTGTTGGACCAATCAATCTAGACTTCTGATACTAATTTAGTTCATAAATGCCAAGCATATATTACACCTACAGTGTAAAATCAATCAATGTCATTATTGCATAGTATGATGCATACAAACCTACATTTTGAAATGTTTTCACTATCAAAGTAGCTCTATATATATCCACTAAACTTTCAATTAAATCATTCATAAAGTGATTACTAGATATACGAAAATCATATCCATCGGAAGATTAAGTAGGGTCATTTTATTATAGTGTGCCATCTCATATCAATCAAAGTGTTAAAGATATTTAGTAATAAATTATAGTTTACCATATATATTATATTTGATATTTTATTATAGTTTACCATATAGTAATAAACAGTCAAAAGGCTCCCAATCTTGTAAGAAGTTCGCCACAGCCTGCTTTTGCACCTCAACAGATTCGTATCTACGTCCCCGATGCATATCTTCCTCAGCTAGCTGTAACATGCCTCTGATCACATTGAAATTGTCGTCATCCTCTATCACATGCACAACCCCCTTGTTCAACCCAAATTCTACGTGTTAGTATGGAAAGTTCTCTGGGATTGATCCACGCAATCCCTGAACACTTGTATCTATCAGGTTTTTTGAATTGTGCTGGCTCCATTCTTCCTCTGCTTCATCAATAGCCTGAAATGAAAGATTATTATTGTTGGAAGCAAAGAAACAGATTAAATCATCATCTAAGATAACTGTTTTCTGAATTTAACTCATAAAAAAGTAGTTACTACCGACCGGAAAACCTTCTCCTTAGCTATCGATGACCACTATAGAGGCAGTAGAGCAAGAAGAAAAGAAAGTGGACATATCTCTTCCTACAGTTTGTACATTACATGGAAATCGTTGGTATGGCTTGAACATCCTTCAATCTTCTCCTAAATGAACCGTGCTCATTCAAGTTCTCAAAAAACTAAGAAGTGAAGACTATGTTTTATGGGTCGAGACACTAAGAAACAAACAGTTATTTCGCATAGGTTAAACCAACTCAACAACAAGCGAAAATGAACCGCGCTCAATCAAGCAATGGCGACGTTGTTTTGCCAAGCCCACAACTGTTTGAAGAAAAACCACATCTTTCTCTTGCTTTGCAAACATAATAATCAGACACTTCTTGAAGTTGCGAATTTCCTCCCAAACAGTTTTCTCCACACTTCTTGTGGCTGATTCATGCTGAAAAGCAAACAACTCACAATGAAATTGCTTCTGAAGAATCATGTGAGAACAAAAAGATGAGCTCATTGCAATTTTTTAGAACATGCTACAACTTTGGACAATATTTGTGCATAAAAGCTTTTTGCTCTCATGAAAATTTGGACAATTGTTCTCCACCAAGCTCGTTAAGCATGCTCAAGAAAAGGGGGTTTCAAAATGTAAAAACATTTGCATTTTTTAAAGTTCTTTTTTAGTGATCCAACATACTGAAGTCCCTTACATGTAAAAAGAATAACAATTTCATTTCAATTAACCACAGTAGAAAACCCACAAAAACAGGATACAAAGAGAATTAGACTTTAAACTTACTGAAATAGGTAAAATGCAGCAATGGCCCGTAACCACAGGCTGCCACTGAGGCAGCATCAAATATGTGCAATTTGCTATTGACACAGTCAGATGTTTTGGCCTGTTAGGATTTTCAAAGCAAAAGAAGCAGCGTTCTTCCTGAGTTGCCATACGCCTTGGACGAATATCCCTCCCAGATAGCTTATCATCATTACTTCCCCTTTTTCTTTGAGTCGTTTTTCCTGAACCATCTTCATAATCATATTCATTATCTGCCCGACCCGACATGCTGTACTGCTTGTTCTTCATTATACTTTTAGCCAGATAAAGATCTGTATCATCCTCCTTATTCCTCCTAGGTATACCTGGAATGTGTTTTCTAAACAAAAGGAAAGAATGTATTAAAAGGACAGTGTCAATTCCCTGGGAAGAAAAGAAATAAGCTGCAGTGACCACCTTACTGTTATTTCAAAATTGAGACCAAAAGGAAACAGAAAAAAAAATACCAGAAATAAGATAACAATATATACTCTTTCATAAACCACCAAATGGACTACCAAACCAGGCAAATCTCAGTAAATTTTACATACAATATTTATTTTCCAAGGATGAGTCATCCATTTATAAGGACTTTATAAGGTGTACTTTTGGAAAGCATTTATATGGTGTATTTTCAAGCTACAAATATTTTAGCAATAACAATGTGTACAATAAAAAATAGAACTGAAAAAAAAGTTGATTAATCAGGCCCGTGAATTAGAGGAAGACGGTTCAAGAAGTCAATACCTAGATGTGGTTTGTTCAATTTGCGGCTTGATGGAATTCACTTCAACACTATTGGTTGCCTTCATAGTTTGTACTTCTTGCTGGAAGAAAGTAAATGGTCAAAATTCAAAGTTTTAGAACAAGAAGCTTATACCTCATAAAAGCACGGGCAACCACGTTAGCACACTCAACATTTTTATTTTAAGAAACCAAGTTTTCATTGAGAGAATGTACAAAGGAAAATTTTAAGAATCCAAGTTTTCATTGAGAGAATGTACAAAGGCATAAAAAAAAGTTGTTAAAAAAACCCAAAAACAAAATGGACTTTGTAGAGACTAAAAACTTGACCTACCAAAAGCTTTTGGGCTTCTTCATGTTTTCCTTTCATTTGAAGCTGAAATGCCTTTGCAGCCAGCTGATTTGCACTCATTGCATCCTTCGCTGAAACACAATCTTCATTGGGCTTGTCGGATGTTGAGACAACCATTTGTGATTGCGTCTTTGTCTTAACCGGATCACCTTTAGTATTTTCACTTTGTTGTCTGAGAAAGTCAGACGCAAAACTTCCATCATCTGAGAATTTATTTATACTGGTCACTGCTAACGAAATGAAGCCAGCATCCTTTGAAGAGACATTCTGACTTTTTTGCTTTCCCCAAGATAATGAATCTCGAACTTTAGGCTCCCTCATTTCAGGATGTCTGGAAGAGATGTCCTTCAAGTAGTCCCTGGCAGAGCTCTAAAATAATGTACCAGATTAGCAAGGAAGTTTAATTCTCTTCACTCCGAGGAATAAAGATACGTTTCAAACTAAAATATGAAGTCACATATCCAAATCAAATCAACTCAATCAATGATTTCCATGTACCTTTCCAGAATCACTTTCATTTTGACTGTTTGAAACTTGATCTTCACTGGTTAGCCCTCTCTTTCTATTTCTTATAGCATGCAAATGAGAACGTGATGGTGCCACTTTCCTGGCCGCTACCGAGACAGCAAGTTGGCCAAGAGAACCCCAACGTTCTTCAACAACCTACAAAATTTCAATGTATAAAAAAACAAAGAAACTTTTGGATCAAACTACCAAGTGTACAAAAAAAATAGTAATAATAAGCATGCCTCTTCAAGCTTCCGTCCATCTCGAGCTGCTTGCTCCTCAGCACGCTTCAATGCTTTAAGTCTCCAGCTAGCCCCCCCATCACCAACAATCCGAGGTGGTGGAAGTTTGTCTATATCTGATTTGGTCCTATCACTCTCCTCCGGATAACCAGTTCCATTATCTTTAAAATATGGATTCAATTCCCTGGGATTGACCTTAGTTATCTGGCATAGAAGTAACTTCCATATCATCAGCGAACAACCATATAGTTTTAAGACATTCAAAATACGAAGCAGAACAAAAAGTAAACACATCAGAAGTTTAATAAGCAGAAAAAAAAAAAAAACATTATTGACCATAATCCACTGGTATCACATAGTCTAACCATCTCATTATGATGAATATACAGGAAAATGGAAAGCAAGGGGAAGGAAACATCTCTACAAATAATCAGCTTTTCTTTCTAAATATATTCATAAATCAGGCAACCACATGCATGCTTCTCAAAAAAGCACCCACACCATGGTGCATGCCGTACAATATTTTTTCCTTTAATTGTTTACCTTCTTTTATTAAAAAATAAGATGTATCCCTTGATATCCCTTTTTTAGGAACTAATCTTACATTGATAAAAATGAAATAAAGAAAAGTCCAAAACATGACTATATAGATGAAATAAAAAAACTAGAAAAATCAAAAAGTAGAAAAAAGAGAAAAGGCTACAATTGTTGAGAATAAATGACAAAAGGTGATTTTTTAAAAAAAAAAGATCCTTGGTTTCAGATACTGAGAGGCTTGGAACCTTTTTTTAACAAGAAAGGAATTTTTATGATGAATAAATGAAAAAAAGACTAATACAAAAATCTCCATAAGGGAGAGAACAAACATAATAAATAATACAATTTAAAAAAAGTACAAAAACATCTCAAAATAAACAACAATCACAAAAAGAAAACCAACAAACGGCTTGAACAAAAGATACAATCTCCATGTGGAGCAATATTTCTTTTCCCCGTGAGGGGCCACTTTTAATCCAATGAGGCGCCCGGCTAACAACCAACTGATAATAAAACCTCAATCAGAACTTCATTCAAAAATGTATCACACGTTTTAAATGTTCCTCTCAACCGCAAGCTTTTCTTTCAAAGTGATTTTAAATGTTGTTCATGCAAAGAACTTGCAGTAGCTTCCTCATGGAAAGTACCTTCAAGCAAAAAACTAGAACATACAAAGCTCCTATGGAATTTGTCAAATTAAACGCTCCATCAACTATCTTATATCCAACCAAAGCATTAGCCACAGAGCATGCAATGCAACTTTTGATGCTCTCTCTTTTTTTTTTTTTTTTTTTTTAAGTGCAACAAATGTGGGGTATGGGGATTTGAACCTACGACCTCAAGGAAATGAGTACCTATCAATTACTTTTAATGCTCTTCATGCAAAGAACTTGCAATAACTTCCTCAATGCGATCATCTTAAAAAGCAACTTTTAAATGCTCATCATGCAAGGAACTTGCAATACCTTACTTGTGAAAAGGACCTTCATGCATAACATCTAGCTTATTAAATGCAAAAAATGGGCTAATCAAAAGAAATAAATGACTCATGGTCTTCAATATTAGCCAAATATGAACCATTGGAAAAGGCAGTCCATCAGTACCTGCCAATTTTACACTTACAAACATGATTTGACTTCAGCCCCCCAACCAAACTTTAAACATAATTCTCCACCAAAAATCAACAATTGGAGTTCTATGGAACTGAAAGCTTTGAAGAGAAAACTTGAACTTCAAACCCACGTTTCTTAATAAAGGACAAAAATGGCTCTAAACCATCAACTTCTAATTGCTCAAATTTGTTGAGAGAAGAAGAATCTTGCACGCGAAACAAAATATTTAAATTGCCTCCATTCATAGCTTCATCTGCTGAAATAACATCTTGGATTACAGGAATAATCTCTGAGTCTTCACTACTTAAGCTAACTTCTGAATCTCTAACTGAGTCAGTTAAGACATATGATGACTCTTTATTCAAGTGATCTGAATAATGGAGCTCCAAAGGATAGGAAAGAATATAATAGAGAAGGATGATCATTGGATGAAATCTAATAACATCGGATGATCTTTGAATAATCTCAAATATTGATGGTACAGCATATGAGACCATTTTTTGAGAGTAACAACGGGATATGCCTGATAAAAATTGTTTTTAATCTCTTTAACACTCAAGGGCTGAATATAGAAAACATAGAAAAACGAAGAAACAAACTCTGAATGGCTAGCTACCTTGGAACAACCAGCAAATAAAAATATCAAGAACCAGAATATCGGGACAAGGAAAATGTGTGTGGGTCTCCTTCAAAGCACGGTCTGAAATCAAAGGCATATTACTCAGAGCACTAATAACCTCCTTATCCACCAAAACATTAAAATTCTGAGGGAACACTGAGTCCATGTCTTCATGAAAAGGTACTTGGGAACTTGTAACTTATTCAAACAGCTTGATATAAAAATGGGGAAAAGAAACGTTGATTTGATTTGTATTTAATGCATCATTTGGAACTGAATGGGGTAGCTGCTAAACCAAAATTAATCACAATAATGCTCGAAGGATCAAGCAGGAGAAGATTGTTCAAATTTTGGTCATTAAAACCAAAGTGATCTTGAATATTAAAAGCTCCCTAGGGGAGCTAAATCAGCGGGAGATAAAGAGAATGGATTTATTGGTGATTGTTCATCTTCCAAGATGTCATTAAACCGATAAAAGTTGAATGAGTTATCTATATTGTTGAAATGGAGATTGGATAAGCTTGGATATGAAGATTGAAGAGGAAATTCATGAAAATCTCAATCCCCAGAAGTCCTTAAGTTGCATGGTGACCGAAACAAAACCCCAAGTATTTCTTGTAAAGTTAATTTTGGAAGAATTACAATCTAATCTATTCAAGTGTGTGAGGCGATACGAACAAGACCACATAAATGGCATCCATTTGCTTCAAAGCATCCATGCGTACAAAAATGTAGAGGTAAGTTCAGGAGTTCAATCCAACCTCCATAACCCCGGTAAACTTAAGAATATTATTCTTTTCAAACACCCTTTTTCAATTTTTTCATGCAAAGAACCAAGTTCTATCCACTTACTGACGTGGAGAATTCATCCATCTTCTATCTAGAGCAAAACTTTGCCATAGGTAAACAAATCGACTGAACATAGTACATCAAAAGATTTTTCTAATTCCACAGCATGATCCTATTCCAATCATCATGCCGTTCATCCTTGTAAAGACCATCGTTGAATTCCAATCAACATCCACAACTTCTTTTTTCTTTTTTAACCCAATAACATTGAGGTGGGTGAGTTTTAAGTGTTCAGAAAGGTAGAGAATTCATAGAACTTAACCAAGCCCAAACCTCCAAGTAACGTTGACTCTCTAAAAAATCCCATTCCTTTCAAGCCAAATATTCCACAAAGCAGCAAAGAAAGTTTATTTCTCTAAACAATCTCCCATTAAAGTTATAATTTCCTACATTCATCCTCGTCTTACTATTCATAATACAACATCTTATTAGATGTATACATGTGTTATTTTAAGTTTTGTAGTTACAAATCTTTCATAAATCTATTTTCATTTTTCTATTTTGTGCCTCACAATGAAAGCCCTCATTATTTTTCACTTTACTTCACACTTAAGCCCTAGAGCCTCATTGCAATTTAGCACCTCACACTTTAAAGATACCCAAGTTTGGTTCAAGATTGGTTAATGTTATGAATTGCAATTTCATTCCCATCTTTTCCTACTTCTATAGGTGCGGGCATGTAAATTTGAAGCAAGGATGTGAAGACAACAAGATATGACAATCTAATTTAATAGAAGATAGAATTATATTACCAGAAAGTGTGACCAAAAATCTAGAAGACCAAATAAATCAACTAGTAATAACTCATATAAAACTACTCTTTCTACTTTTCTTTTCAAACCAAAAAAAAAAAAAAAAAAAAAAAAAAAAAAAAAAAAAAAAAGAAAAAAGAAAAAAGAAAAAATTATGGTTTCATGCAAAGTCACTAAGAAAAAGACAAGGGCATACTTCCTTTGGAGCTTCTTCTTGTTGATTATCAATAGATTCATCTGAGATTCTCTCCATCGTTTCTTGGGGTTTAAGCATCCACTCCAAGCCCATTTCTTTTCTAACAATTTCTTTGTCATCTTTAGAAGAAGTCTCTCTGATGCTATCTAAGAATTAGAAAAAAAAATGAAACCACATAATGTTCTAAAATATGAAACATGACAATAAAAGAAAATGAGATACATACCAAACATTTCTTCTCCAAGGTGTTGACTCTTTCTTTTCTTATCCCGATTTCTTTTACCTTTTCTCCTATGTTTTCGTCGCTTTTCAACACTATCACTAGAGCTATCATCAGTATCAGTAGATGTAGAATATTCTCTAGCTAAAGTGTTCCTATCACTCCTTGATTTCCTTTTACTCGCTTTTCTTGTATGATGTTTCTTCCCATCCCTGTGAAAATCTTCCCTCATGTCACTATCTGTTGAAGATGTTGAATAGTCCTTCGATGATTTCTTCCTCCCAAATTTCTTCTTTTTCGTGTTCTGGTACTCCTCATCTGAACTACTGTAACGTGTTGACTTTCCCTTACTTTTCTGTTTCTCATTACTCTGTTTAGAAGAAAAAGAGCGTACATGAATCACCTCGAGTGTGATACCCAAAGCCAATAATCATATTAAAGAGTTACATGAACCAAAAGAACTCCATAATTTAACATAAGCAAACTAAACTTATTGGGTCTTACATCACTAATTCTTTCTCGAGGAATAAATTTGAGTCCAGAAAGCATTGCCCGACCTGTTCAACAAAATGAATAATAGAAATTACACATAAAAATGCATCAAACCGAGCCAAGAAGTTGAGCAGATAGATGTTCTTCACAGAAACAGGAATGGTTTGGGCTTATCCATTTGGTCAGGTATTGAGTTATGAAAGTTCAAGTTCAAATGAACATTCACATTCATTCCATCAATCAATAAATTCTACAATAGTTACTGAAAGAACTGAAAGCACAAAATAATATGGTAGAAGAGCAGCAAAAACCCTAGTTCCCTCTGATAAAAAACCCTAGCCACCTACCTTTTTTGAAACTCAAGCCACGATCTTTGATTGGCGTAGTCTAATTCCGGCAAGACGGTCGCGTTTCTCCAGCGTCTTTGCGGCGATTTCTGACAGATTCGGGATTGCGATTCGGTGGCGGTCTTCGCTCGAACCACTTCTCCACAGATCTAATGCCTTCAGGCCCAGAATAAAGCGTAAAGAAAGTTGAAACTTGCCTAAATCGATCCGAATCGAGCTGCGTTCGAGCTTGGTTGGTTGGGTTCTCACACCCCTAGATCATAGTTAGCCAAACAAAGTTTCTTCCACATTCATACTTCGTACATGGACAATTTTTAAATTTAGGAATTAAATAAGATAAATAATAAATCCTTTTAAATTTAGGACTTAAATAAGATAAATAATAAATTCTTTTAAATTTAAGAATTAAATAAGATAAATAATAAATCCTTTCAAATTTGTAACATCCTTAATCAATTGTCATATAACTAAAACATTTAAATATAAATTGTTAGTTAAAAAAATATATTAAAAAAATACCATGATAGATCCTAAAATTGAAAGACAACTAAATACAGATAATTTTTTGTTTTTTTCTCCAACTTTAATTGATCAACAAATACATCTCCCTAACTAAAAGGTATAAGAGTGGTTTTTCTATCATTCAAGCCCCTAAAGTACACTACACAAGTCTAACTATTCTAAGACATGAAGTTTGCTAAGTACCACTCAAGCAATTGGAACCAAGGATAAGATTTAAGAATAAAAACTAAGGACAAGAACATGACTAAGAATAAGTGTGGTACCCTAGCATACCTTAAGAACATGGTTAAGAGCTTACAAGTAAATTACTTGCTGAGTCTTTATAGTCACTCCATGTTTTTCATGATTTTTAGGAAGCTAAGGAGGTAGGCGAGGTCAGGAATGGTGATATGAACCAAAAGACATCAATCATACAATATACTTCAATGAAGATGTGAAGAAAAGGTTGTCAAAATTATCAAAAGATGTTTCAATTCATGCCACATCGAAGAAAAATGAAGTTTGATTGTTATAAATTTTGGGTGGGTTACAATTTAGAGTTATTGTATTTCATTTATATATTTTAAGACTTTATTTACTATAGGTTACAATTACATAATGGTTAATTATGGTCATTAAGTATGAATGTTACAACTCTTGGAATGACTTTTAGTAGTTTCATTTTGAGGCTATATAAAGCCATGTATGTTGTATGTGTAAGAGACTTTAAAAATATAGTAAAAAGAAGCATTTGTGCTCTTCTTCAGCCAATGGCTAAGTTTCTTTGCAATTCTATGTAGTTTAGGTTGTATGTAGAATCATTCAAGCTCGACATGATCAATCTTGCTTGTGGAGTGATTCGAATCTCAAGCAAGTGTTCTTGTCTTGAGATATTTGATCAACAAGAATCATCCAAGCTAGACATGATCGATCTTGCTTGTGGAGTGATTCGAATCTCAAACAATGTTCTTGCCTTGAGATATTCGATCAACAAGGTAATCCGAATCTTACTCTCCTTGTAGTGGTTCCTTTTTCTTATCAAATGGACTCTAGACCAAGTTTCATAGACAAATCTCACCCATAATCTTGAACCTTGTTTTGTTTTAATGTTTTTGTGTTTGTTCCTTATTTGTAATTTAGACTACTTATGTATGAATTCTATTTTGATGTAACGTAAAAGTATTGTATATTATGTTTGAAATTCTCTTTGTTTTTATTTCGCAAAATAATTTATTCATTTTACACCATCAAGTTAACCCTAATCACGATTCGTGGTTTGGGGAAACTCAAAAATCGAGTAACGATAGAAGTGGTATCAGAGTCAAAGGTTTCCTTATGGCCTAGCAAGAGAGATGCTTTGTTGAGATGAAATAAGTACAACGATATGTCTTTGCGTTTAAGTATGCCTAAGGTTTTAAATTATTGGGGGCATGATTGTAGGATTACTATTTAAGATAAGAATTAAGATAACATCACGTTTACTTTGGAGGTTGTGCCATCCTTCATGAGGACAACTTTAAGTTTTTGGAATAAAATAAAATCATATAAAAATAAAATAAATAATTAAATGTAATCTCCCTGGAAATCGAGGGATTTCGTGTGCGACTTTTATTAACTAATAGAAACATTCCTATTTGTCTAAGTTTCATAATTCTAAAACCCTAGAATGCCTTATTGGGAAATGTCTCAAGATTATTTTTATATTCATACGCTCAACTTTTTACATCCCTTGAAAACGATTTTCTCTCCAAACTTTTCTCCGAAATGTTGGGTTGCTCTTTGGAGAAAGAATCGAGTGGCAGTAAGGTATTGATGTCGGGATTAGTGTCAAAGAAGGTTGATCGTCGAAAATCGGTGTTGAGCGCGTCGCCGGAATCGGGGAGGCGGAAACTAGGATTTCTTCGCTTGTCGGATAAGGAAGGCGAGGTTTTTGGAATCAGGTCAAGCCGCAGACGCACGCCCAACAGCTCCGACAGCTTTGCACGCGTACACAGTGCAGCTCAGCTCGCACGTATATGAAATCAGCTCAGTTCCGTCAATTCCCATAGCTCGGCTTGGCGGCTTAGTTGGTCGGCTCGACAGCTCGGCTTATCGGCTCAATATTACTATAATATATCGATTCCAAGGTTTTTGGCCTTTCTGAAGCCGTTGTTGCCCTTAGTTTTACCATCTGAGGTCAGTATGGTTCCTAACCATCAAAGACAGATTGGGTTGGGAGTTTATTTTGATAAATAGCATGAGATTAGCTAGGGTATGTTATGAAAGGTTCCTAAGTTTTTATGTGGTTATTATAGTATGTATTTAACTGTTGGGATTAGCTTGTTGTGAGTGACTTCGGCCAAGGCTATCGAGGTAAGTGACCTTATTGTTGAGTTAGTTTACTACATGTTGTATGATGTGTGTGCCCTGTGGCCCCTGCATGCACCATGTTTTATTATGTGAAATGACTATATGATGTATGAATTATATGACTGTTTATACTATGAAACGTAATGGGTTATGTTGATTGTTTATGTTATGTGAAGTTATGAATGATATGTTAGTAATATATGCCATGAAAATGTTGATCAATGTCATGGATACACGTAGTATTATTGAGTCATGTCATGAGATGTTTATGCAACTGGAATGTTTCATGTTATGTAATATGTCATGTAATGTAAGTCATGTGAAATGCCATGTAATGTAAGAAACATATATGCAATGTTAGCACTGCTTATGTAATGTCATGTTAGATATGTTAAAGAACCTCATGCATATATGTATGTCACGTGCATCGGGATTCTTCCCCTTTATGATACGAAAGAATGAATTCGATATTTATGTTTGCCATGATATCATGTGGGCCCTTTTTTGTTCTATGGTTGTCGGTGACGTGTAACACGTTGTGCCCGACCAAGTCAGGCCCACGGGGTATGTACACCTACATGGACCGTGTATGAAGGAGTACCACACACTCAACCCTACCCGGAATAGAAAAGCGCCCAAGGCTATGTAAAGTTTATGAAAAGTTAGGTCCCGCTCATATGTTGCATGTGTTTGCATTTCTGACCCCAACAATGGAGTGACGTACTAAGTATTTCATAAAATACTCAAGCCACGTGCTACCTACATTTTTCAGGTAAAGGAAAGACGCCAATGTACGGTTGACGGCGAAGCTGAGAACACTATGGAAGTTGGAGAGGGAATATTTTTAGGAGTTTACGTTTATGTGACGTGACTCTTTTGAGTTAAAACATTGAATATTGTTTTATTTAGATTTATTTTGAATTCAGTTACTAAAGGTTTTATTTTCGAATATAGGTTTGTTTTGGATTTATGAATCTTTATAAAAGATATTGTTGTGTTTTTCCAAGGTTATTTATGATGAGCTTCAGCGTAATGAATTATGTATGCATGAGTAACGTCACTAATTAGGTTTTAGAAAATTAGAGGCGTTACAACAACCATGGAAATGCAAACACAAATATTACAAGCTATCTAACGGTCAGTGGTGGGCAATGCCTCAAGCGACTATGCCACCGCCCTTAAAGTTGTCACCTTACTAGACATGTATAAACAACAACCAAAAATGGGGGAACAGGCTAGTCAGAGCACAAAAGAAAGTCCTCAAACAAAAACCACCACAACAAGAGGTTGAAGGACATACCTCCATGCCAAAAATGTCGAAAACTTCCTGATCGGGAATGTAGGGTAGGAACCAACGCCTGTTTTAACTGTGGCAAGGGAGGCCACCGGTTCTTTGAATGTCCACACCAAAGAAATCAGAACAACAGACTAGCGTGCCAAACCAAGAGAGACAACACCAAAATCAGAACCAGATGGGCCAAGGGGCCAGTTTTGCCCTCTGAAATTTCGTAAAGATGCAAACTCTGAGCAAAAAGTGTCATGCATCAGTTACTACCAAGTAAGTGGCACTTTCGATTTATCTATGCTCATAGTATGCATGAAAGTATGATACAAGAAGCATGTTATAGAAATTTGAGCATGAAATGAGTTGATTTGATGTATGTAAGAGCACGTTAAGCGTTATGATGCACGTTTATCGAAGAATGAACTGTGGGGCTATGATATGACCGAAATTGAGAGCATACATTTAGTATGATATAAAACATGTTATAGGAAGCTGCTTATAAATGTTTGAGCATAGAATGAGCTGAGATGACACATGTTACTATGTATGTTACTGAAAGCGTACGCACTATCTTAAGAACTGAAATTGATGACTAGGTATCCATATTTAGATTGCTATGCTATGTCTCTATTTTCTATGTTTATGATGTATTGGTCGTAGAGGGACGATTAAGGGTTCGCCAACTAACCTCTAATTGTGAGTCTGATTCGATTTTCAGGGCTCCAGATAACCATATAACTGGCTTATTTTATTTTAAGACTTTTGACTTTACCTTGTGGGGACTACTGTGAAGTTTGTCTGTTAGCTTCTTGTAGTGAGCTTGTCACGAGTGGTAGGGTTCCACAATTGTACCTTATGAGTTATGCGATTATTGTTCATGCATGTGAGTTATGCGATTATACAAGGACGATAGGGGTGTTGTAAAAGCTTGAGTTGCTATTTTTATGTTTTAGTTCTTGAATTTCAGATCACAAATATGATCTTATGCCGATATTAGATCACTGATATGATCTTATGCCGCATTCTTTGTTTTGACATGATATTCTTCTTTCTGTTAGGATTTTATTTTTGTCTTCTATTAAGCATTGTACTGGCTATAAATATAGTCATTTTTCACATACTGAATTTCCTTCATTCTACAAATTTATTTTCATTAAATTTATCATTGGTATCAGAGCCT